ACGATTTTTTCTTACTGGGTGCAATAATTGATCAAACTGTATGCTATACAGCAGAAAAAAATTATTGCTCAAAATATATCTTGCATGATTTCTTTGTTTGCTATTATTTTTTACCGTTGCTTTTCTCCTTGCTTTTGCTTTTACAGCTTTCCAAAGGTTCAAGTATTATTGTATACATTAAATGACGTTTTATTCATGAATTAAAGCAGTTAAAGAGGGTTGACACGGGAAGAGAGGGCAGAGGGAGAGGACTGGGAGATAAAAGAAGAAAAAATGTGAAGATATTGTCGGATAAATAAGCGTTTTTTTCTTAAGGTTGTTCTTTTATTTCTTTTAACTACTCATTTTTATATATTGTAGAAGCTGCTTTCTTTTTTGGCTATTTGACATATTTAAGCAGTTGACAATAAGTTTTGAACAGTTTTATTAATAGGTAATCGGCATATACGTAACGTACTGATAAACAGTATCTTCTCATCACTACACTTTCGTTCCTTCTATTCTTTTATTTCATGTATATGCGTTATTAAGTTTTTTTTGTTTTATTTATAAACATCATCGGTTCTTCATGAAAAAGAGGCTATTTGTCAAAGCTATTGACGGTTTTTGAACTGGATTAGTCAAGATGACGATAATAACAAAGGCGTACATGATCCGTGCTTCTTATCGTTCTCAGTGCCATCATGTGCACATAGAAATTTCTTCACTATTCAACTAAGAAATGGGAAAAGCATCATTAATTCAATAAAATCTTTTTTTCTGTCTTTAAACTATTGTTTAGCTTGATCAGTGTTAATGGACAACAGAAAAAAAATGTTTTTTTTTTTTTTTCGAACCGCTTTTAATCAAGGATTGTTAAATTGGCTTATTCAGATATTTATAAAGACAGTGTTGCTTCTATCTTTTTTTTTTACTCATTTTAAGCTTTCTTCTTTAAACAGATATTTTCTAGTTATAAACCAACAAAAATGAAGCTAGCAAAAAAACCTGATTATTTAGTAAGCATTCGTCGTACGTTCCTTTTCTGTTTAATTCTTCTACCCATTTTTCTTTTTCTTTTTGATTATCTATACATATCGACAATTTCAATTCTAAAATCACCTCAGCCTTTGGATGCTTACGTGATCATCTTTCTCCTTGTTAAAATTTCCAGAAGCTTGTTTCAGAAAAATTAAAACGGTTGTAAAGAAGTGCTACTCATTTTCAATACGACAAAAGCGTTGGCGACTACAATTTGTATTCCACAAATTTTTGTCTGTCACACCATTCTGTAAACTGGATTGTTTTTGCTGTTTAATTATTGCTACTGTTATTGAAGCCTGGTTAATGATTTCGGATACCGATGACAAGGAGTATGAATAATGTTCAATAGCCTGCAAATAGATCAATGTATTTTATGAAATCGTTGAACGGCATAAAACGCCTTTTGTTGTTTTAAAGATATTAATTGTAAAAGAAAAAAAAAAGGAAGTAAAACAAGTGTAGAAGATAAGAAAAGGCGAAGTAACATGGCACCTCGTCATGAAATGAATGGAGTAACATCAACATTACGACGTTTCTTGCCATGTTTCTCTAAAACAGTGCCTCTGTAAGTTTATACGATTAATTTTTTTTTGTCTTGCTTGCACTAGTTTAGTTATGGATTTTCGTTTTCAGATTTTCTGTACTGAGCAATTCTGAAATTTATTAAAGCATTTTTTGGAACAATAGCAAATATAGTAAAGGCAATACATTAAAGTATTTAAATGTTAATTATCAGCCAGCTGTTTCTTTAACACTTTAATTTCCCTATTCGAGTGTTTGAAAAGTAATAGGATTAAAAGTTCCGTCTTCTTCTTTCTTCTTCTTTTGTTTTTTTGGCAATTTTTTCTTCTGCTTTATTACCTGTCGAGTGGCTCTATACTGTCTTTTTTTTCTAAGTTAACTTCTCGTCCTTGCAACTCGGCTACTAGTGTGCGTCAAAAACTAAGAACATGTGATGTGTATATATTTTTGGTGCATATATTTTGGCCAATATAACCCTGGAATGGTTCTGCAAAATAAATGCATTAGATAATGGCATACATTGGCAAAGAAAAATTCCTACATTTGTCTTCTACTTTTTCAAGTCCCATCTTCCTTTCCTTCGTCTTTATATCTCGTATTTTCCTCTTGTCTGAGTGTATATATTTTGGCCAATATACCCCTGGAATGGTTCACGGAAAAAATGGCGAGTATTTAGGTTGGTGAACAAAAAGATTTTTTCGTTTTTCTTCTTTTACATGGGAAAGAATCATGTAATAATAGTAGTACAACCACCTGTTTTTTCTTTCGCTATTGTAAAAAAGGCGACGTGATGTTGAAAGATACTGATGAAATATAAACCGTTTCTGATTTCCTTACTTTTTTCACTTTACATTCACTTTTTTGGTTACGGTACGGTCAGTTTTTTTGGTTTTAAAAGTAGAAATCATATTGCTGTATAGCGGAATTTTTGCATTTACAGCGGGTGTTCTAAAAACACATAGATGCTTCTTTGTTCTCTTCTTTTTTGCCTCCTCTGTTGCTCTTTATCTTTCTAAATCTTTCATGTAGCCAGAGTAGCCAAATAATGCTCAGCAAAGAAAAACCTGAAGTCTTAACGACACAGAAAATTCGCTGTAAAGATTTAACTATGGGGGGATACGACTGAGTACTGCTGGTGTAATTGCAACACTGAGCTGGATGTCATCGGCGTTTCCATTAATGAGAGAAAATACAAAAAGCAAACCAGGTTTTGAGGTTATTCCCACATCTGTAGTCTAAGTTTCACGTAGTATCACAGAGGATTGCCCCCGGAAATTGAATGAATGTTGGTTCTTGACATTGGGAAAAAGTGTAGGAAGTTTTGACAGCGGCGCAAAGGTTTTCCTCTCCAAACACTTAAAAAAATAATATTGAGTGCAACCACGTATGGTTTGTTTTTAATTTTATGCGCATGAAACTTGTTATGAAATAAGCGAGAAGTTGGCATAGCGGATAGGATAATTTCCTAGCGGTTGCATTTCAGAAAGAAACACTCCACAGCAATACAGCAATTCAAATATTAGATGAGAATTCTGGTAATGTGAAGACTTTGGGATTAACTTTTCATCTAAAATTTAATCTTTGTTTGCTATGACAAAAATAAAAACAATTAAGAAACATTACTTTGAAAAATTTTTTCGACCAGATCTTAAATTTCTGAAGAATAATATTGATAACTGGCTGTTAAGTGTAACTTGAAGCTGACCTTAATTTTTCACTGAATTATTTCTCTCAACTAATCAAGTTCAGTTTTAAAATTTTTCTGAAATGAATCGAGCTGTGAGTTATCCTGCTATTTTTCCCTGATAATTGGTATTTTAGAGTTTGTTTTCACCTTTTTTCTGTTCGGTTATTCTATGCAGAAATTAGATCAAAAGCATTTTGCAAATCATTTTTAAGTGTTACCGGAAGATTTCTAAGCAGTCTTTTTTTGTAGTCTTTCACAACTAGATGAATAGATAATTTTAATGACCGAGGTTGAATGACGAAAAGTGGTAGGCGAGCACTTTTGTTAAATTTTGGTGATTTAGGTCGACGTTACTTGCCGCTGCTTTTGCCTTTATCGGTCTAATACTGTTCATTGTTGGTATAATTCGTGTAGTTAACGGAAGCGCTAAAGGAGAGGGACAGGTACAGCTTTTATTGTCGTTATTTCCAGTAAGCCTTTTTCAAAATTTTTTTTCGCCCCTTTGAATAATTTCTGTTCTAACCTTTCCTTCTTCTCAAATTCTTCCTCTACTCATTTTTACATTTTCATCTGCTTTACAAAAAGCAGAAAAATGGAAATTGTTGGTGAGCTGTTTGCGCATTTCTCTTTACTTGCAGAAGACTCTTCTGACCACTCATCACTCAATACATCTTAAGATATAAAAGAAAAGTAAATCAAAAAATTAAGCGTGAAAAAAATCAAAACTTATTTGAATAAATCGTTGTGTTTTTACCAAGATAAAAGTACTTATAAAATAAAGTCTCTTTACTTTTAGCAACAACTAGTTTTTTATTTTTCTTCACTTCTTTTTTTTAATAAATGTTTTTCTTTTTCCTTGGCAGAATAAAATTAATTTATTAAGTAAGTTTTTAATACGCCAAATTGCCTTTTTTTATACTTGCCTTATAAATAGTGAAATTTCTTACTTTGTCAGTGTTAAAAACTAGCACTTATCTTGCTGGTAGAAAAGTAAAGCAAACCAAAGGAAACGATAACAGAGCAGAAAAAAAGTAAAAAGTGTAAGAATCATTCGTTTTAAACACTTTATTAATCAACTGGGCTATGTTTTTCCTCTATTTTTCGAATATTTTAAGCATCTAAAACTAGGCCATCTTTCTTTTACGTAGATTCTGCACTTGACACCCTTATAACTAGTTATTTTATGCCTTTGGCAAAGGAGTGGTTTTTTCACAATTAGCTTTTCTAAAAATTATGGAATTTAGGTGCACTGCATAAAGTTTTGTCATTGTTTCCCAAAACTTCTTACCCACCGACTTCTTCCTGTTTCCTGTCCCCTCTACAGTCCCTAAAATCTCTGATTCACCACAACCCCGTTCTAGTAACCCCCTTAATTCGCCATTGAATAAAACACTTTCACCACTTACAAGTCTTCTTCCTCCAATCTTTTCCCAGCAATTTGTTGCCGGCAGAACATAACCTCCGCCAGCTGATATGCAACAGATCAGAGGCTTTCTTCTTTCAAAAACCGTTTATTACTGTTAAACAGTTCAGCAGCAACTGCTGGAATATAGCTATATTGTGTTTTTTACAACTTTATTCCTTTCCGGGAAAGAGGAAAAAGAAGTGCCGTGAAACGAAGAAACGACCAAGTGTTTGTCTTTTTTTTTGACTAAAAAATTGTTAAAGCTGTTGATAGAAAACCGAGAGGCATTTTTAGCTGCCCTCGGGCTGGGGCGGTTTTCCTCGTTGATACCTGCTTCAGCTTACGTTGATAAACCAAAGAGGAATGGCCTCCCTTAAGGATGATGCTTGGCCGGAAGCTGATCCATACAAAACGTCAGCGATGAAGCGTCAAGGTTTTCACCCATATCGCAATCTTCTAACTTTAATTCAACAGTCTGCCGTTTTCTCCAAACCGCTGGCTTTTTCAAGAGCGAGAAAAACCACTGCAAACGAGCCAGCGGAAATTAAAAGTGCCTGACAGCGAATTACTTGTTGGCGACTCTCACTAAAAAAATAACTATGATCTTAGTATCGACAAAATTGTATTATTTCTAAAATCCTTATTTTGTTTAATACAGTTTATGTCCAGCTGGGGTATGACAACTAGAGGTTTGCTGCAATAAGGATCATTTTGGGTAAAATAGATTAATAAAAAGGCTGAAGGGCTTAGAAAATGTAATTAGTCTCCGTCTTTTCTATTTTCACTTTCATTTTTTATTTACTTTTTTTCAGTTTTTTTCTAATTTTAACTATTTAACCATTCCGCCAAATGAAGTATTTTTTGTAAGAAAGAAACTCTGTGAACCACAACTGAGTGGTGCAGAATTATTCGATGAACTTTTTACTAGAATAAATTTTTGTATAAAAAAGAGAAATGAAGAAATATTCGTGAATTCAATTCGTCTTGGTGAAGGATCGCCTGAATAATTTTCTCACCCTTCGTATTTGTCTCTTCTTCGGTCCCCCCCCCCCTTTGTCCCCCTACAATTCCAGTTTTCGTTAAACACCCCAAATTTGTTTAAACTTTGTAGCTTTTAAATTCATTTGCTATAGTAGAACCTCCCTTTCACATTTTAAATCTTTTTCAAAATTTACTGTAGAATAATTTTGCGTTGTCAATAATCTTAGTAAGGCAAAAAAGAAATTTCTGTCAAAATCTAGTTAAAAATTGAACTGGTGACGGCTCTCACTTCTAAAATGATGTCTTTAGTGCTGTATTTATTCCAGGTAGGAAATTGGTTATTCTTATGCTTTGGAGCGTTACTACTTGCATGTGGTATAGCAGTAATACTACTGTGTCGAATACAGAGTTTAGCATTTACGCGACACCAGCGTCGCACTGGCAGTGGTCGACGACGAACACGCCCATGTAGACGTGAACCACTTCCGGTTTGGACGGTTGATGCAATTGATCCAAGTTTTAGGCCGCCCCCAACTTACTATGAGGCAATACATTGGTCAGTTTATTCAATTTTTT